AACCTGTTTAAAGTTACTCAAGTTCAAACAATAGCAGCTTTCCGATGATGAACCGGACTGCGCCGCTGCGTTTGGAGACTGTCCCTGGTGGTTCTTCTCTCCCAGCAAGCTAATATGTTTGAAGCTCAGGCTGCCATCACAAGGCCTGCGCCACAAGCTATTTCGAATGTGCAAAAAAACATCGATATTCCAAAAACAAAACAAAAAGAATAAGAAATCTCAGTCAATGTCCTCTGGAACGGCTATTTTACTGCCTCAGAACTCTCAGAGATCACCTGGGACAAATGATGAGCTGAGAGATTATTCTGACATTTCTTCCACACTCTCTCTTTAATAAAGAGATGAGTACATACACCATTAAGGGCTGTGTTGAAGGGATGCACGCAGTGCTTCAACACTTTTTTGTACTCTGGTACTTAGAACTGAGAAGTTAATGTGCATTTGCTGTGAAATTCTCCCTTTGTGCTGCAGAATTGGGCTTCACAATTTCACTTTTAAGGATATTAGGTGGTCAACCTAATCATCTGTACAAAGCCTTGAGGATGCATTTTCCCATGAGCTACTGCAACGTTTGTTTTTCAATTGAAAAAACGTTGGACGATCTGAGAACGCTAAATTTGTTGATTTTGCAAGGTTTGTCTTTGTTGTATATAGTACGTAGTAGCACATACAAGTATCTGTTGCATGGACTATATATATATACATGTGTGTGTATATATATATATATATATATATATATATATATATATATATATAGATGCGTGTGTGTGTATCAAATATCTTTAATTTTGAGCACTATTGGACAAATGTCTGCCACAGAGTAAATGCACATGCACATTAGATACTATTTTTGACTTGTAGGAGCGGTCGGTAAAGTCAACGCGCATTTGCTCGTATTGTCACTTCAATATTCTTTTATTCATTGTTCGGCAAAAACAACCTAAATCACACTCATAATAAACGGAGAATTCAATGCGTAATGCGTAATGCGGTCAAAAATAGTATCTCCTTCCGCTCTCAAAATAGAAAACACACCTGGCCTTACTCAGGTGACATTTAAATAGCCGACGCCCCCTGACATCATCATTACATCATCACAAATAAATCAACAGAAAAGGTAGTTTCATTATGCACAATACAAATGTAGTGGAATGGCTTCTACACTATGTATGCTTGTTGCTTCCTCACAGAGAGCTAAACACTCAACAGAATCCTGACCGTTTGCTGTCCTGGCTCCTAAATGGTGGAATGAGCTCCCCAATGACATCAGGACTCTTAAACAGCTTGCTATGCAAACTGAAAACACACCTCTACCGCAGCACCTGGACTAGTTAGTACTATGAGCACTTACCATGGCACTTGCTTATAACACTTTCTTGAAGAATTTGTACTTTCTTGATTCTTGTTGTTCTGGTTCTGTGCCCTCTTGATTCAATGCACTTTTTGTAAGTCGCTTTAGATAAAAACGCCAGCTAAATAATGAGTGTATATGTATCTGAAGGACTTACAAGTGAAAGCAAACTGCAGTGAAGACGTTTCACCACAAGATGGACTTAGGGATGCATGGATTTGGGACGTATGGCAAACAGCGGGAATGAATTGCATGCTCCCTAACTTTCCCCAGGAACATTTCGTTACTCCCACAATGTAAAGTCAGTTTGTCTGACGTTTTGTGAAGAAGAAGGGTCCGAGGGGGGAGCTATAGATGCTGGAAAGCGCCAAAAAACTAGTGTATTAATTCCAGATATTTACCTCTGTTTGTTTTGACTGTGTTCAGAGCTCCATGGGAGCAATGTTTGCCGTGATGAAACTGAACAGCAGTCCCTGTGGAGTTCATTACAGGGAAAGAGCCAGTGCACACCCCCACTGCTCCCCGGCCAAGAGGGATTCGGAAGACCCAGAGGGATGTGTTAGTTTGGGTGGGTGGAGTGGAGTGGAAGGAGCCTACAGAGTAGGCTGAGGATGCGGAGGGAAGGGGGGACTCAAGGGAGGCAAGGAGGGAGACCATAAACACTCAGCTAATGACCTCAAACACACTAACAACACAGCAGAAATGAATGAAACGGCGCAAATGACGATATTCACTCCAGGAGAGAGAGGAGACATTTAGCATAGCAAACTTTACACCACAACGTGGCTGCAATCGCTACATTTAACGTTAGGGGGCAATTTTCTATGTACACCTTGTGACCACTTTTCTTTTCTTAGATCCATGTGAAATAAATGAGAACAAACATCCCGCAAGTGTAAGTAGAAATGAGGTGAAGCGACTTTGTCAGCTACATGATGAATGGATTCATAAGGAAGTACCCAGAGATCATTTGCCAGCGTAGATGTTAGAACATAATCTAATCATTGTGTTTTGGAGTCGTCATTCTGATATATTCAAATATTTAATATATCTACTATTTAGAGTAACAGTTGGTAATAAATGACTGGTAGGGTTACTGTTTCAGCTTACACTTTTAACCCATGGCTTTTTACATTATTGCCCAGGAGCAAGTAGGGGTTAGGTGTCTTGCTCAGGGACACTTCAACATGGGACACGGAGCAGCCGGGGCTCAAACCGCCAACCGTGCGGTTCCCGGCGCTCCCTCTCTACTCCATGCGTCCCTGTCAACCCTATCTGCCTTTGCTGTTGCAGACGCCAAAGACAATCGTCTGCCTGTCGAGTCCCACTGGAAGCTCACAAGAGGAAGCTGAGATGAGACTTTTCGTGCCAGAAGAGCAGGTTCATTTAATATGTTATTTTTGTAGCTTTGTCTTCATATTTATTGGTTTTAATTGGATGGAGAAAAGTGGCTAGAGGGAGATGGTCAATAGCCCATCAGAGTACGGATGGTACTTTAAATTGCTGCTTGGGGACGTTGAAGAATATCTATCTGATAAAGGTCGTATGAAGTCTGTGTGGAGGCCAAAGGACCCCGGGAGGGGGGAAATGTTTGGGAAAATCTACTTGGTATACAACTCTATAGCCATATAAAGAACTTGTTATTTTGAACCCCAATAACCTGGTTGTTACGATTATCTGTGTAAGTTGTTACTGTTTGCAATCCCCGTCGACACGCCGTGCCAGCAAATGAGATCATATTCAGCCTTAATTTGACCGCGGTTACTTTCCGGTTTCAACGTACCTACACAGTACATACAAGAAGTATACAATAAAACTAAGACAAGAGAAAAACCATGTACACTAGTATGTATACATGAATATGAGGAAGCTGTACAGCAAAGACATTGAGGTGACAGTGCAGAATATGGTGCAAATGGGGGTGTTGATGAGAGACAAGGACGGTTTCTGTAACTGGTGGTTTGGTGTAAACTAAAGACTTCCTGTTTTTGGTGGCGAAGTAGAAATGACCAAATATGAACATAAAGACGGACTCTTTTGGGAAATGGCTTAAATTGAAACCAGAGGTTAGTTTTAAGGTTTGCGGATTTCAAACACGACCAAATAAAGATTAAATGAGAGGAGACTTCCTGTTCTTGGTAGCGTAGCTGAAAGGAGACTTCCTGTCACTCAATGTTAAGTTATGGCAGTTGAACCACTTGCTCACCAAAGGCGAGGTTTAAGGTTTGGGGAACAAGTCCGGGAAGCTGCGTGCTTTAATACATAGAGTTAAAGTGGTTTCAAATAAGGTTTTTTTTAACTTATTTTCTCTGACAATTCAGTTAAGTGGGAATAGGGATTCAGTTTGGCTTGTGAATATCCTGTCGGTGGCCTCCAGGACTTCAGGAGTGTGTAGCCGTACACACCCTAACTCCTGGGAATGGCAGGTCTCTGTGGTCTCAAGATGCTGCTGCTGTGGCCCGGGATCGTTTCTTTAGCCTACTGTAAGTAGCCATCTTCATCTTCTTCATAAAGGAACGGGAAAGCGTTGGTGTTTTAACTCGTTGTGACCTTGTGTCTGTCGTCTGAAAGTCTTGTATAAGAATCAAAAAATCACATTGTTATTGTCTTTGTTTGTAGCTTATTGTATATATCTCAGTTTACTGATATTTCTTTGTGGGGAAAAACATGATCCAGATAGCTCTTTAACATGATGGTCAAACCACAAGGAATATGTCAAATATTAGCCCCAAATACAAAGGTTGCATCGGGCAGCAAAGGAGAGTGAACAAATACTGATCGCAGGGACGACTTCATCTGGGACAATAACCAGAATCTGTTTGATAAGCATTTAGTCGTCAACCATGTTCTGCTGTCCAGTCCTTGATGGCATTGAGTCACTTGTTTATTTCATTTATTTTTAACCACTGTGGCCTTTGCACTTGTTTATTTTTATTTATTTTTAAACTTATTCTTGTTATTTTTATTATTATCATGATACTGCTGCTCTTGTTTTTGTTACCATGTATCTTGTGTGCACTGTCCACTTTGCTGCCGCAATCCTGTCAATTTCCCCACAAAGAATATCTTATGTTCTTATCTAAATGACCTGAACAGCTCACTAGGTTTGAATACAGACTGGAGGGGTATAGGACACGTAGTGTCCCAGAGACGGTGAAACATGTGTGAGGGATGATGAAAACCAGTCCAACCGTATGCCAGGAAATTCCCACCCAATCACTTAGCAGCCTTTTATTCTGGATGTTGTGCTCTGGTGACATTTGTATATTACAATTCTATCAACCTTGTTGTTTTGAGATTTTTCATTCCAGTTCGCTCCTCCAAGCAACTGGAATAAGTCACATAAAGCCTAGTTTATGCTTCTGCATTTTTAGAGAGACGCAAGGGCACGCAGACGCAAATGCCCCCCTTGCACTTGCACACGACGCACTCGTTTCAATTCATGTTTCTAAAAGTCTTGCGTGTGTTGCAGAGAAATTCACCGCCAGAACAACAGGTGGAGTAACGTGTTTTGTTGAAGACGACCTAGAGAGTCACGTCTTTGTGTGTGGAAGTCGTTGGTTTGTTTATTTATTTATCATAGACTTTATTGCCCCGTGCATCGCCACTGCTGCTTTTCATCGCGGGAACATTTGTCCCGTATTTTCCTCCAAAACTTTGTTCCCCTGGTTTCTTGGAACACAGATGTTTCAACCCGCTCACCTCCACGCACAACCACAAATTCCACTTTGTCTACAATGACGAGTTTATCTGTCGCCTCCTCATCTCCACGCACCGTGACAACAACTACTGTCACGCCTTCAACAGTCACCCTCATACCTGCACTCACCTCAACAAGCAGCATCTCAAAGTCCCCAAATCCAACGACCAATTTAAACCCCCCGGCTGGTAATGTATTCCACCTGATTGAATTGGGAACCTTAGCGTTGCATTCAGCATCATATTGCTGCTTTATGCATTATATCAAGACAGTAAGTATTTCTCTATTTGAAGGTGACCTTCAGCATGCTCTCCATCTTACAGACACTGCTCCTCCTGCAAACACCTCTCTCCCACCCTCACCTGCACCCAACGCTACCAAGCAAATGAACCCTCAAGCAAACACCACTCAACCCAAGCCTCCAATCATCACTCCTGCAGCCTCAGGTTGGATGTCTATCCTTACATGCACCGTATGTCTTTTCAAGGACTCTAACAAGACATTTATCTACAGAAGTATAGTCAACAGTTACTAACACAAGCAGCGCTAAGGAATAGATTACTAGAAGTTCATAAGGAACCCTCAAAATGGCTTTGGAGGTGTTAAAGTTGTAAAATCATGTATTAATATTTTGTTGATTTCTTTTCTAATCTTATGTGAATGTGTTCTCCATCCGCCACACAAGGTCCTCAACCTCAACAGTGTGAGTATCAGTATTATTTTCAAAATACATCATTTTCATCTTTACACTCATAGACCACTAATTATATTGTTTAAGAAAACAAAAAGAACCATCTGTTTGAGATTTAAGATGACATAACACATGACATGACGTTGTGTTCAGGTTCTTACATTGTCACACACATCCTGTCTGGCTTCATGGTCAACGTGTCAATGGATCCTACAACCACCAACTACACCATCAACTTAAAAGAAACGGGCCAAACAATCAAAACCATCAATCCGACCTTCAATCAGAGCTTTCATGAAATCAAACACCTGAAGCCGTGTACTGAATATGTACTCAATCTGACATTTACTGACAGTACTGGCCAAGAAAAGCCTTGTGGAGCTGAAAGTACAAACACGACCCTCGGAATGAGTGAGTAAACATTTCAAAGTATTTTATCTATGAAATGAGACCAACATACGTTTGTGTGCAAATCATTTCACTTGTTTATTTCAGGTGAATATGACGTTCAAAATGGCACCTGCATGTCTGGATACGTTTGTTACCGGAGTGAATGGGACAGCTCATCTCTGTCAACATCATATAACATTCCAGCTGAGCAATGCAAAAGTGACAATAAGACGTTCTGCATCAAACCTCGTTACAACGACATATGCACAGATTTAACTACAACCTTCCCTTCAGAAAACTGTCTGACTTCCTTTAATCTCACCAGAAGCATCACTGTTGGTACGTACATTAGTACGTACGCTTGGAATTACATGTGGTGAAGAACTTGTGTCATCATGTTTATTTGATGTTTCCCTTTTTGTTCTACAGATTTCTTGAATTCATTTGAAATAAATCAGACGGCTTCAACTAAACTTCCAGCACAAATTGAACCAAAATTACCTCCAAGCTGCATCGATCTCACCGTTGGTTACACCTGTCATGGTAAGTGGAACGACTGGAGGTTGTCATTGACATTGTGGTAACAGTTTGATTTAAAACATAATGTAATCGTTGGGTTTTGGGGCAAGAGAGATTTGAGGAATTGCTTTGTTCCCTCTGTGAATACAACACTAACACATTTGCTGTGAATGTGTTCACATTTGAGACAAAGAACACAAATACCAGCTGTTGAAGGAAAGCTGTCGTCCTCGTGTCTCCACAGAAGTTGGTGAATCCAACACCAAGAACCTGTCTGACCTGAAGCCTTTCACCGACTACAGCTGCACGGGTCAGGTTCAGAACGGCAACGTCACCCTGAAAAACACGGCCGCTGTCAGCTTCAGGGTTGACTGTGGTATGATAATATATTCAATTCCTCTCTGTGACGTGATAAGAACTTGTGTCCCTTGAGAACGTGGAGAGAAGAACAGCTCCAGTTGTTCAGTTCAGTGTTACAGATGTCTGATGTGTTCCTACAGATTTTACATTAAACGCCAAAGTGATTTCTTCCACCAACACGTCCATTAAGTTGAGCTGGAACACCAGCAGTGAGAACTGTGGAGACGTCCTTAAGAATCTTTCTTATGTCTGCAGTTGTTCTCACAAAGAACGTAGTAAGTAAAGTATTTAAGTGATCATATTATCAGTTGATTCATTTTACAGGAATAGACTTTTGTCTTTGGAGATCATTTTATTTGTCAGCTTACTCAACATGGGAACATGCTGTGAATCAGTGCTTCATGCTAACACTTTAGCTTCATGCTAACACTTTAGCATGAAGCTTCCTACTGCCTGATCGTAGATGTTAAGTTCAGATGATAAAAACTACTCAGTTAATGTTATTACATTTCTGTTTACCAACTAGCACTGAATCTATACTAAAGCTTTAGCTTGCGAGTTGGTGATATTTTCTAACATAAACTCATGACACATAGATGATATTAATGAATTGATTCATTCATTAACTCGTGTACATATTGTTGTTTCTTTAGCTCCAAAAGGAAAACATACAGCTGACTTGAAGGGATCAGTAGGAACATGTGATGTTAGAGGACTGGAGCCGTTCACTCAGTATCACTGTGAGGTCCAAACCAAATACGACGGGACACTCAGACCAACGACAGGAAATACGATTACACCAAAAACTGATTTTGGAAGTAAGTGTAATTTTTTTTATTTATTACGGTTTTAGTAATAATATTTCTACAACAGAATGAACATTACAAAGCTGCTCCAACTCTTAGTGAAGTACAGTGGTTACTTTACGTGTTATTCTCTGAATAGAAACCTACAAGCTTCATTCAGCTCTGACCTGGTTATTCATCAGGTGGTGAGTAGAGTCTGGAGTTTGGTATCAAGTAACTATTGACAGATACATTCCAACCAGTTAGTACAAATGTGAAAAACTAAAAGCATTAACATTACTTGAATAATGTGCATTCACTTTAAATCCTGTTTCAAGTGACACTTTTGACACAAAACCAAATGTTTAAGTGTAATGTACATGCTGTTCTGTTCACGTATGTGTCCCCCATTCACCATGTAGCATTTCCTAATTCATTTGTTTCCTGCTTCATCATCTACAGGTTACGAGCTTTATTTAAACATATGACACGTGTGAAGTCAGACATTAAGATTCTTCACACATCTTCCTAAACATTAAACATGAAATTCATAATCCATCATCAGCAATCATTTAGGGACATGCAAGAATATAGAATAATAACTAAATGATAATAAATAATGATTCATTTTCCAATATTATATATTTTTTTGAGTTCATAATCATTGTTTTTAAAGTTAATCAGATCATTGACAACCAGGACAACAAATACAGCAACACGCTTATTATATTATTAGAGCTGGTTTAAGAATCCTTCTGTGACAATGTGTTGTATCTGATGGGAAATATGTTGTTTTTCTTCACTCTCTTAGGACCAGAAGAAGTTACATCCCTGCACGTGAAACGGACAGATAATAACCGGATATCAGTAACTTGTAATTCTGAGAAACATTCTAATGGGCTTCTGAAGAAATACACTGCAACTCTCTCTAACGATGGGGCCAAGCCCAAGACGCTTAACAGCAACGAATGCAAGTTTGAATTCAAAGATCTGAGCTACTCAACGGAATACACAGTGGAGGTTTGCATCATACTAATTGTTGGTTTCACAAGATTATTGTATCTTTATTCATTGTTTCGTTCAAATGCTATAATTCCTGATGAAGGCTTTTGTGGGGTTTCCAGGTGATTTTTTGCAATGAGAAATTTTGCAGCAAACCCAAGAAGGATTCTGCTCAAACTTCCTGTAAGTGCTGTTTAAATTTATTCCCCAAATCACATTGTTTCGTTAAATCATTTAACATATTTTGCTTTCATGTGCACAATCCCTTCTATGCATTCTAAACATAAATTCAACCACATTGATATTCTTCTGTCATTACCACAATTTATCAGACAACATTGGTCGTCCGATCATCTTCGTTGTCACCATCCTCATCTTCTCTGTGGCCTTGGCTGTGGCTCTCTACAAGATCATCCAGAGCAGAACGTCCAGAAGGTAAAGATCATTGTACATCTCCTCGCCTCACGTTGACTCTCACACGGACTCTTGTTGCTGCAGTTGAATTTGCACCATTCTTGTCGGACACTTGTTAAATGAGGCTGTTAGATTACCGTATGTTTCAATGCTTTCTAATTACATTCTATGAAGCTCATTTTCAGTGTTATTTCTCCACAGTGAAGATGGGACGCTTGAACTAAATGCCAGTGAGTAGACCTCGGAACATCATGTTCCATGTTTTTTCCTGCTCTGTGATCTATTGAATCAAATACATTATTATCAATGTACCCAACAATAACTGCATTATTTCCTGTTTGTGTTTTTTCATGCGGCTAGTTTATGAGAATGTCCCTCGATCTGACGACATACGCCCAACGGAACCTCCCACCGAGTCCTCCGTGTAAAATTGTTGTTTTTCTTTGAATCTTGGTTGCTAGCATTTGGTGTGTGTGTTAAGGTAAAGATGAGGATAATGTGTTGCTTGACAGTGCTCCAACATGAGACTTTAAAGCAATCTAGAGTTTATGGAACGGTGTCAATTTTAAGTGGCAGCATATTTAAAATCATGTGTGTGTACCAGCTTTATGTCATTGAGATCTAATTGCATCTGTTTGCAGTTCATGGTATAAGTAGTGTTTTGTCTTATCAGCTATGTTCTATTATGATTTGAAAAATTTAAAACCGCATCTGACAGCCTTTGTATTAAATACTTGTAAGCGTTTTAATGTAAAACACATAAAATCTTTTTTTTTTGTCTAAAGAAATGAGCACTGTTTGGGTTTTCTTCCATATAGATGAGAAATGCAGCCGCCTCTAGTACAAATCTGGAGAATACTTATCGTAGCCACGAGTATCCCATAATCTATTGGCTTGAGTCGTTAAAAGTGCAATAAGGGGTGCCATCATATTCACAGGGTCTCTATGTTCAGATCGCCTGCTACGATGTTCCTTTATCAGTCTGGATTATGTTGTTTATTGCAGCCTGTTCAGAAATAAACGTTATTTACATACAAGTGCCAGTTGTTGATCAACCTGAATTGTTCCAACTAGGCGTAAATGAAGCTAAAACAAACACTCAACACAGATTTGTGGTTGGTGAAAGTAGCAGCAGGCTCGTTGTGGCCTTAGAGGTTTTGTTCTTACAAATAACTCTGGATGTGTGAAGCTGCCACGGCTCCGCAGTTCAAACCGCATCAACGTGAGCGGAGTGTAATGCTGCAGTTGTTCAAATCAAGTGTTGAGATGTTAAATTATAACAGACGGAAGAAATTGGAAAGCTTTATTGCATATAGTTGGCATACAAGGAGTTTGTGATGAGGGTCATTAATTGGACATGTAATGTTCAGAAAACAAACAAAACATTAAATAGTATTTGCAATGTTTGAATTCCTGCGAGGGCCTGTGGGAAAGCACACTGAGCCGAGATAAACGGCGTCACGCGTCATACAAAAGACAGAAACCCTCCCGAACAACAAAGGGCCAGAATCTTAAAGTGACTTTGCACTGAACCTCCTGAGGAGGATTAAAACAAATTAATTTAATCTGGACTTTGCACTGTATATTGCAAGCTCATAATTAACTGGGCTACAGTACATATTACATTCTTTCTGGGGCATAAGTGACTCTGGTGCTTTGGTGCTGGGAAAGGAAATGCATGTAAATGTCAATAAAAACGCATTTGCATTTGGCAAATCGGTGAATACCATCAATGTATTTAAGGAGTTCTGTATAGCAATTAAAACTTAGTACCATGTTAATAAAAATGCTGGGGCTGTACATATGTTCTTGTTGGGAGAATTTAGAAATAAACAGCACCAGGGGGGGGAGAAGGAGAGTTGCTTGGGGGCAAACGGTTTTTACAAGTCTATCAAAATAATATGCTGACCAAAACAAAATAACATTTTACATTTTCTTGCACAAATACACTTGTGTTTTTCCACATGTACACATGTAAATATTCTTACATGTGAAGTAAATATGTGTGCATACATGTACAATCATTTCAATTAGTTTATCATCATCAAACAGACTATTAGCTATCTGGTAGGAAGCTGAACTAAAGAGTGATCATTAATTACTTACTATTCCGTTCATGTGGTCTCATTGTTTTTTGGAAACCAGTGGTAGTTAGTGGTTTTTTTGTGACCCACTGGTGTTAACCTACACACTGTTTAACCACCGTTTCCATCCGCGAAATTAATAAAGGGCCAAAATCCTGCAATATCTCAAGGAACTTCTCTACAACATGCACAGCAAAACAAAAAGAGGACCCCCGGTGCTCACCTTCACAACAACACTTAAGAACATGTTTCATACCAGAACACGTATGAACTGCTTTTGTGTGCGAGTCTCTTTGGTATCTGAGGGGAGGACATGAGTTCGGCACGCTGTGATGTACACGGACACGGACGGCTTAAAGATGTGAGGCTCTGCAGACTCCTCAACATATTTGTTACAAAACAAGACAGAACAACTGTAAACTTACACAACAATCAGAAAATAGTCTTAACTTTGTGGGGGGGTAGAATGCAGCCACTGGACCCTGATGGAGAACTATGCGTTTTGACGTTAGATTCTTTTCTCAGGTCTTTGTAGGGATTTACAACAAGAAACTAAAGCTCAGGTTGAAGCAAGGCAGAAATCTTTTGCTGTCAGTGACTAAGGTAAACAGCAGACGTGGAAGTGCTTTCCTTAAACCTTCTACCGCTCCTTCTAGACTGTCAAAAAAAAGAGACATACTGAATTTTTCAAAGACAATACATAGGTGTCAAAATGACTTGCATTCAAAGTGTTGTGGAGACATTTGCTCATGTTCCCCCCCTGGCACGTCTCTAGTCTACCCTGTGAATGATGCTTCCTTTCCTAATACACTCATTAGACATGATCACCCTGCCAGCCTTCTATTACCAGAGCAGAAAGTGCAACACAACATCGCTTCAACCATCAAAAAAACACTCTTATGTCACTCAAATCTCTTCAGTCCAATTTAACCATTGTTCTCACTTTTCACTGTCTTTTTTGTTACTTTTGCGTCTCTTAACTCCTACCAGACTTTAAAAGTTCATTTCTTATATATTCTTGATATTTATCTTGATCAACTGTTTTGAGGATGGGGCACATCTGACACCTAACTTTCCCTTCAAAAAGAAAATCCACCTTTTCTGCTCACAGCAGCTGCAGAAGAACCGCTTGACGTCACTAAAAGGAAAATATATAGGACTGATACTCAGTGCTGTAACAATACTGCTGTCTAAGGAATTGAAGGTCCATTTGATAAAAATGTATAATCGATCATCTTTTTCATAGGGAAGGTTGGGATGTCAGCATTTTGTAAACTGTATCCCGCTGAAAAGGAATCTGTTACACATGCAGACGCTAAATTGTATAAAAGCAGGCACATGTGTTTGAGTCGAGCACGTACAGCAAAGACAGAAGTGGGGAGGACTTCTGCAAGCAGAGTGTGTGAAACTCTGCGCTTAGCTGCTCTGTGTCAGGTGCTGCATGTGTTTAGCAATGTCGTACACGTAGGTGATGTCCGGCCTCTTCTCCGGGTCAGGGTTGATGCACATATCTACCAGGTTCCTCAGCTGGGGCGAGGGACAAGAGAGAGAGAGAGAAATAAAACCAGTCAGTGACATGTTAGTGAGAACAAACTGCAGAAACGGATTTCTTTTAATGAGCTCTTAAGCTGCCAGGCAACAAGTAATCGAGCTGAGAAGACGACGCGAGTCTGCGTTAGCCGATCGCTTAGATTTCTCAATCGACTTTTATTTGAACACACACACACACACACACACACTCACACACACACACACACACACACACACACACACACACACACACACACACACACACACACACACACACACACACACACACACACACACACTAGTGCCACTCCATTGCCATGCAGACACGGCGCTTACACTTGAAGCCGAGCGAAGCGGCTGATTGGAGCAGATAGATAGACAGGCTCGCAGGGGGAACAGCCAATGCCATCTTTAAAAGAAAAGGGAAAAAAAACGTCTAAGCGGGGTCGCTATGGTAACCGTCTGCCAACTTCCTGGCCGCTGTAGCGTGGCACAGGCTTGGACGACTTCTCTTCAGCCGCTGTGTGTGTGTGTGTGTGTGAGAGACAGAGACAGAAAGTGTGGAAAAGATGCAAATTCAGACAGTCTGAGAATTAGTCCCCCAGAATGGAGATATGGGGGGATGCAGATATGTAAAATATTCATGCGCTTCTTTGCATGGAGAGGAGGAGGGGGGAGTGTCAGGCGGAGGGCAGGGGGAGGAGGGGGTTAGGAGCTGGTGAAGGGAGGCATGGGGGGGGAGGACGGTTAAATGACACAACAAAGATGAGCAGCTGACAGTTTGCTGCCGATCCTTCAGGAGCATTGTTTACATCCAGACAGGCGCTGCAGGCACCCCCCTCATCTCCATCTCTCCATCGCCCCGTCTCTCGCTCTATCATTCCCCCCCCTTCACTTTGTCTCCCTTTCTGCTGGATGGGGGTGACATGTTGAGCCCCCGCACAAGTTCAGCGTGGTATGTGAGGGTATTAGAGCTCTTGTGGCAATACACACACACACACACACACACGCACGCACGCACGCACGCACGCCAGAGGCTTTGATACACCTCACAATTAGCCTTTATGAAGGTAATGCAGTAAATATGGAAAGGCAAGGCCTCTCATCAGGGTTTACCATTTGACTAGAGCGACATGAATAATGACGGCTTCCTAAACTGAGCCACTGTGGCTGCAGTTCCTCTGACTGAAGACCAAAAGGACAAAACATGTTAAGCATTTTTTTATTTTATTGTGCCTAAAGGGTCATACCAGGGTGTTTCCAGGCGCCCCGCATCTAGATAACGTGTATGTATGTGAACACAAGTATTTCATTATTGCAGTTATGTTACAGTCTTGATATATGTATTTTTGTATTTTAGCTATGTGTTTCCATTAATTAACTGTTAACAAAACCAAAAACACACAAAAAAAAAAAGAACTGTGTTGGATTGATCAACTCAGTAGGCCTCAACATTCTGCTGATGGATCTTCATACAGTTTCCGAAAAGCATAAATGTAACACACACACACACACACACACACACACACACACACACAATGTGGCAAAAGGTCAGAAGACAAGTGATAGAAGTCATTAAGAGATGAAAGCATAGCTGATTAATTGATTTGAAAAGAAATCTAATAATTTTAATAACTGTTCTGATGTTATGCTCTCAAATGTGAGGTTGTGCTGTTTGTTCGATTTTGGGAATAGTAAATTGAAAATCTTGCTCTCCTAATATTAATTAGGAGGATAATACGCATCACATGTCACCATGTGCTTTAATCTGGCATGTTTCCACTATTTTCTGCTATTTCATGGGCTATACAACTATACAACAAAACAAGGTTTCTCCTCATTGCTCAATGCATGTAGTGACCTTAGTGTAGGTGTGTGTGTGTGTGTGTGTGTGTGTGTGTGTGTGTGCTTTTGAGCCGCTGCTCGAGCTTTTGCATGCGTGTACCCTTGAAATAATGTATTTTAAGGAGGAGAAAAAAAAGAGAGAGCAATTGCCACCCGCACAAAAAGGGCACGCAAACACAAAGCCACGAGCATGCAGACACGTCAGCGGCAATCAGCAATGAGGCGATTTCTAACCGCAGTCCGACTACATTACTTCTGTGTGCATGGGCAAGTCTACGCAGAGCGCCGTGATCTAACATTTAGTTAGGGAAACATGACACTACAGCCCATTTAGCTTCACCCCACTTTGCAGCACGGCCAGATGCTTTTGATATGTGCGTTTGATTTTCAAACGGGTAGAATCATAGCCGGCCTTTTGATCACGGAGCAATATCATACTGTGCAGCAGCTCAAACAGCTGGGTGGATTTCACTTACATCGGAGGAAAAAAAACAAAACGGGCAAACACAAGTAAAGAAAAAACAGGCAAACTGACAGAAAAAGGAACAGTCTACCGCTGCTTAAAACAGTGGACCTCACTTAGTTATTAATACTTTTTTCTTTCTCTTTGAAGGCGTTAAAACATCAAGCAGGTCCATATCTCCTCACTGAGGCAGTAAAAGGCAGCCGATCCAGTACTTACCTCCTCTGAGTAGTGATCTGAGGGAAGAGGGGGGTAGTCACACTGTTCTATCTTCTTACAAAGGGAGTAAAGGTTCATCTTGTCCCCATAGAACGGACTCTGCAAGGCTGCCATCTGAAATGTAAAGATATAAGGGAACAGGGAACGGACGTTCGGGAAGGAAGACAAAGACGTTCTGTCAGAGAGCAAAGTAAAAACTTGTGCTACACAGAAGACACACTAAGCATGTTAAGAGTACGACTTAATGATGAACGCTAGGCGAGAGAGACAAGATCAAAGTTGTGTGTTTATATGAAATCTGCACACGCTTACTAATGTTTTTTTGTGGAACAAACGCTGGTCCAGAAATCAAGTGAGCCAAAACGGGCCGATCCATGAGAGCGGTCTCCGCTTGTGTGTTTTCCCCGAGCTCTTTCTGCTGTACTGCTTGGAAAACTTGGAGCTATAGAGACATTCAGTGTGTTTACATGATGGTATAATTGGAATCTTTGCTTAGTCGGACTATGCTATCTTTCGGGGGGAGGTGCTATTATCCCAAAATACATGGCAGTGAATAAATCAAATCATTGGCCAAAAGCATGTCATATCCGATACGATAGGTGGCGCTGTTTTCATTACAACTAGTTGTGATACAACCATTTCCACTTGACCTCTTCACCACTACCAACAACAACAACAACATCAACATTACGAGACTTAAGAGGCACGAAGTTCCAAAAAGAAGAGCAAAGAGTGAGGAGAGGGGTGCAGGCATATGAGAGGAGATCTTTTTTCCCGTTTGCTGGAGCACAGAGAAGGAAATCCTGTGCAAAACAAACGCACGCCAGCGGAGCAGAGGAGGGGCAGGTGGGAGCGGTGAGGATGAAGAGACTTTAGCGCGGTGGAAATAGGTGAACCCCTCCAGCCTGTCTAAGAATAGAAAGTAAAGTATGCCGTTTCCGGCAGGGTTAGTGACTGACTCACATTGTTTAAATGTGCACGCGCAGGGCGAAGCCAGCAGCCGGCTCGCATAACGAGAACACTCATTCAGATTGTTTCTCTGATTCGGTGCCATCAAAATACATTCTGCGTCAGGCTTTTGTGTTGGGCCAAATAGCCCAGCTGATAATAAATAAACATGGCTGTCAGGGTTGATGAGGATGAGCTGCTCGGAGCTGTTGCAGCGCGTTGACTTTGTTTTCATTTATTAACATAGTATTAAATAGGAAGAGGTTGCAGTAAGTGTATCACTAACATATATTGAGTATTGATGGGCAGAAAAGGGAACTTTATGCAAAAGGTTTGCACAGTCGAATTAAGTGTGAAAACAGTGTTCAGGACCAACGTGAAACAGGACGTAGAGCCTTTCCTTCATTTCAAACTTAAACACGGTTTAGAGAAATGTTCTTAAACGTACTCTGGAGACATGTTTTAAACATAGGGTGTGCTAATTGATAGCACATATAGTGTTTGTGATTGAAACACAAGGCAGGAATTGTTATAGAAAGGACAAAATAAAGAAAAATGCATTATTTTTTTTAACGCATTAGTATCTTTACTCCCCCCGGGGTCCCCACATGATTCTCAGAGGAGGTACGCTTTGTGTTTGACAGTCTGTTAATTGGTAGTGTGACGACAGTTTGTCAACATTCGGATCCAAGTGGAATTGTTCCATTCAGCAGGTCAGTGGGAACAGACTCCATATCTAGTTGTTTTTTTTTTAGATTAAGACCAGAAAGGAAATGGAGGTAGAACGACAGACGCTGGATTTGTGTTCATCAGGGACGGTCTAACCTGCTTCATGGATATATGAACATTTGACCAGCAACCAGAGCAAAGACTCATTGAACCACTACAAGCTGTGGCTTGAATAAGTTCAAATAAAAACGATTACGTGCTCGTGGCTACCAGTGTAAACCCTTGGACGTCACTCCCCAACTTGTAAACGTCCTCTTCCTTTCAGTCTTCACTGTAAGATGTGTAAAACATTGATGGTGCGGAGACAGAAAACGTCTTATTCCCTATTGGGCCGAGTTTGACAGGATCTCTGTCACATCTTCCAGTGAGGAGTCAAGATGACGGCAGCAGAATCTCAGCGGGCCGTCTCTCCTCTGGACGGGATTCACCATCACACATCAATCCGCCCTCTTAATCAAACACTCGCATAAAGACAGTAGATCCTCGGAAACACACGTGCCAATAGCGAGTGGAGAGGATCTCTCTCTCTCCCCCCTCGGACGCCCCTCTCCCTCCGCTCCCACAATTACAACGGAGGCCGGCTCAGCAGGCGGCTGACAGAAGAGATGTGTGAGGAAAAACGTATTCCTGTGTGTGTCAGCAATGATGCACTTTGAGTAGCAACAAAGCGCCATATGTGTGACCTAACATTTCACAATTGATTTTGCAACACATTCAAATGATCAGTCCACCGTTTGTTTTGTTAGGTTTCAGTTTGTGATCTTCCCACATAAAACAATATTCAGTTCAAATAACAATAACAATCAACAAGACACTTGGAATTTTTACTTTTTTTTAATTTCAAATCACCAGCTAATTTGCAGTTGATGATTGGCATCGTCCACTGAGGTCAGGGAACTTTTAATTTTTTAATAATCACTTTCCAACAAGCAAACCAACTGACCTCTATAAAATACTAAGGCGCAGTGGCAATGGAGCTACGCTGGCTTTCTCACAAAAAGTTGTGGATCAGAGTTAAGTTCCCCTCTTTAATAGGGTTGGGTACTGAGAACTGGTGCCGGTTCCTGTACGTCCGGTACCTACCGTACAGGAACGCAGATTCCAGTGCCTGAGCCGATTGAAAAACTTTATTTACACTACTTTGATGATGCCGTCACCGCAACCGCTAACGATAGCGTACCGTGTGTGCAGCTACAGTAGCTAGCTCGCCATCGGCCTTCCATTCATATTCATTTAAGTCAGCGTTTCCCTCAGTTATTAAAATCTGAAAGTTTCCGCCCATATGAACCCATATACACCCTTTTGGCTTTTACACGGGGAAACACTGTAATTATAATGTAAACAGTTAATTTCTTGTTCAATTTGAAGATTTTTTTTTTAGCTTTGGCGATTTAAAAAAAAACCCTTTCTTTAATTTCATCAATCATTTGCTTTTTAAAAAAAATAATAATATAAAAAATGCAAATGATACTCATCCCTACTCTTCAAACAGAGAATGCTGACTACTGCCAGTAAAAGTTCCCTTCAACGAGTTGGAAACACTCTTAATTGCTTCATAAGAAATGTATTCAAAACTTTTAGTGGTGTACAGCGGGTCGTGTGGACATCTGTGGGTTTGTGTGCAAGGGATACATAGTCCTTTCCAAAACAACACGTTTCTCAGTAAGCAGGAAAAGAAGATATAAGTGAGAAAGCAAAAGAGAAAGCGGCAGAAAACCCACCAGCTGCAGACACCAGCAGGCGACGGGTTAAACAAGACCCCGTCGGATTTTCATGCATCTTCTGCTTTTGACAGATGAAAAATGTCAACTGTCCTGTTTGTATTTGGGAGTTTTTGCACTATTCATCTGCTTCATTAGTGCCTGCTGCTCCGGGCCCCTGACAGCTGCCGGCCCCCTGCTCTCAGCACACACGCACACACACACACACGCACACTTTATCAGACTGTGTCGTCGCATTGGGTTAGATGATTGACTCACTCTCTGACCTCTGGGTCCTGGTGAGTATAAGACTGTGTGTGTGTGTGTGTGTGTGTGTGTGTGTGTGTGTGTGTGTGTGTGTGTACACGGTTCATTGATATTCGAGAAACATACAATGCACACGCATGCCTGCTGTCTGTCTAAGGGGTGTGAGCTGCTGGTGGCAGAACATACACATACATAAAAACACACACACCCTTCCTTCCTCCTTTGTTCCTCAGCTGGCCAGGTTGAGTTCTGCCCGGCCTCGGCATGCAAGAGCAAAGCCGGCCTCCCTGTCCGTGTAAAAGGTCTGGATGGGGCCTTGCAGTGTATTTAACACTGACTAACACTTGTCTATGTCTATGTTGTCCACCACGTCCTCCACCACGTCTTTGTTGTCTACCACCGTCCTCCACGTCTATGTCGTCCACCACGTTCTCCACCACGTCTATGTTGTCCACCACGTTCTCCACCACGTCTATGTTGTCTACCACGTCCTCCACCACGTCTATGTTGTCCACCACGTCCTCCACGTCTATGTTGTCTACCACGTCCTCCACGTCTATGTTGTCCACCACGTTCTCCACCACGTCTATGTTGTCCACCACGTTCTCCACCACGTCTATGTTGTCTACCACGTCCACCACGTCTATGTTGTCTACCACGTCCTCCACGTCTATGTTGTCTACCACGTCCTCCACGTCTATGTTGTCCACCACGTTCTCCACCACGTCTATGTTGTCCACCACGTTCTCCACCACGTCTATGTTGTCCACCACGTTCTCCACCACGTCTATGTTGTCCACCACGTTCTCCACCACGTCTATGTTGTCTACCACGTCCTCCACCACGTCTATGTTGTCCACCACGTTCTCCACCACGTCTATGTTGTCCACCACGTTCTCCACCACGTCTATGTTGTCCACCACGTTCTCCACCACGTCTATGTTGTCTACCACGTCCTCCACGTCTATGTTGTCCACCACGTCATCCACGTCTATGTTGTCCACCACGTCCTCAACGTCTATGTTGTCCACCACGTCTATGTTGTCCAGCACCAGGTTTCTCTCAAGCTCTCCTTTTCTCATTTATATAAACACACACACAAACACACACACACACACAATTATAATGTCGCACAATACAAAAATTCCTAAATGTTAACAGCCACATAAAAAAATAGCGTTTTGTCTCTTGCTCTCACTCACACAAGTGAGTAAAGCATGACTTTTTTATGTGCTCATTGGTCCTTCATGTGGTTTTATGATGATATATTAATCAAGGCAGCACGTCACAGTATAGGAGTCATTAAAAATATACCTACACCCAGTGGAGTCATCACTAGTCTACTTCAACCAACTAAAAAGGGAAGAAAGATAACATGAAGAGGAATGACTTAAAAAGTGCCAGATTGTTCCAGTGGGTTGAACTTTCGAGGAGAAATGTTCTCATGTCCTGATTCAGATTTTCACAAAAGCAGTTCTGCATTTGTGGATTTACACATCTGCTGTCCTGCTGGGAGTTAAATGAGAAAGACAATGACACTTGCATGTCTGTCTGGCAATTATGAAGCCTCCAGATTGCATCCTGTTAAGTGTATGAACATCAACGTGTGTTTTCACTTTCTTGCTTCATAACGAATGGAAACGTATGACTGTAGTTTCTGTCTGCTCATCTAACTGAGCAAAAAAAGAGAAAATGCATTTCTCAATAAGTCAAACGACTCCATAAAAACATGGACGTGCTGTGGGCTCCTACAGGTACAACTGAAATGGAAATTCTACTATTAATGATGTTAATAAGCTGACGCAGAGAGTACGAAGGAAGGGAATGCAAATATGACCGGGAGGAGTAGGAACTCATCGGAGATTCTGGCTCGCCCGATGCAGACTTTAGGAGCAAACAAGATCATCAGCGCATCAAAAAACGGCACATACTCGTATGAATTAGATGAAAGGACA